TGTGTGTGTGTGACAGGGCTGATGTGTGTGTGTGACAGGGCTAACCCCTGTGTGTGTGTGACAGTGCTCACACTGTCCCTCTGCCCCCAGGCTTCCTGGAGCTCCCTGCGGAGCGACTTTGAGCCGCTGAGCCCAGCACAGCTCCATCACATGCTGCAGCAGTACCGCTCGGGCCGAGCCTGCCCCACTGCGTGGAGCCCAGCGCCTCAGGACGCCGTCGCCGCGTGGTCAGGAGGTGAGCGCGCCCGCGTCCAGCACCTGTAGCGCTTTCCCTTTTCGCTGACTCCGCCCCCTCACCTGTCCCCGTCCGCACCTTCCATAGCCGACGTGCTGGAGAGCTTTGAGGGGCATCCCCCGCTCGTGCTGCCCAGGAGGGACTTCCAGCTGCGGCTCGGCAAGCCGGTCCCGGATCCTGGCCTGGTGGCGCGGCTACAAAGCCTGCAGGACTTCGTCTTCTCGCTCGCTCGGCCCTCCGCGCACCCGGGGCAGGTTAGCATCACCAGCATATGCCTCCTCTGATTCTGATGTATATACATGTCCTCCACATCAAACACTTATTTTGTTCTCATTCCCATCCATCCATCCATGGCCATTTTTCCAGGTTCTTGGTAGATCTGTACCATGTCCCAGCAAGAACAACCCATCCAGGTGTCCCTGTATCGTAGGATACATGCTTATCGCTCTCAGGAAAAAGGGTACAGCCCTGGTGTAGTTTTGTACCCCAAGGTACAAATTAATGTTTTCTTCCTCCATTGGTACGAAAATGTTCCCCCGAGTCAAATTCTTTACCTTAAAAGGTGCATTTACTTACAGCTGAGGGTACAATTGGCAGCCCCTTGAGGGTACAGGCCCAGTGATAAGTAATTGTACCCTGAAAGGTACAAATTGGTACTTTTTTTTGACGGTGATAAACAGAATCATTTACCGTGGCCTGTTTACAGGCACCAACTCAAATGTTTGAATTGCAGGACGAAGCTGAAGTAGCTGATGTACTCTCCAGTGTTCACTGATCGCATCACATGACCTAGTTTGGCAGCACGTTTCTCAGTTATGAGCCCTGGGCCTCAGTGCGCCATCTGCTGGTCAGTTCTCGCAGTCTGTCCTCACGAAAGTCTCGGTTCTCTGTTCAGTGTCCCCCGATGCAGAAGCCGTGTTCAGAAGCTTCCCCCCCTATGAAGAACTCGACAGGCACTGTCCCGTACGACGGAGCTGCGGTTTTGTCCCAGCGTTCGGCGGCACCGCGAAGCCCCAGTGTCAGCGACCTGAGCTCCTGCCAGACTGTCCTGACTCAGAAGCTGAGGAGCTTAGAACTGCAGTGCAGCCTGCGCGAGCAGCCGGACCTCAGCTGTCACAAAGGCCTAGCCCTGGACCCCTCCTGCCTGCTCACCCCTCCCAACACCCCCCAGGGCCACGAGCTGGCTGAGCCCGAGGCCAACCTGCAAGGTGGCGCTCTGGAGAGAGAGGCGGCTGACCAGCAGAGACAACGTAAGTGTCTCCTCCGGGACATTCATCAGTGATGATGTAATTTGCGTTGCAGATCCGATAGGTTAAGCAGAGAATGGGATGAGCGCTGAGGCGCAATCAGAATGCTGATTGGCTAATGCTTGTGATCCCTTAGGTAAGAACCAATCACCATGCTGCAAGAATAAGGAGGACTGTGAAATGGATGAGGAAGTGTTCAGCGTGGAGCTGCAGATGGGATCCCAGGGGCTCGGACTGGCCCTGGTGGATGGGATGGTGAGGAGGGGGACCGTTCTCCCCACGTTAATGCCGGTGCTGGTCACGTGCTCATGTCTCATGGTCACCGTTTGCTTATCTGTGTTTCCCAATCCGGTCTGACAGGGGGAGCAAAAATGTGGACTGGCTGTGGGTCCCTGAGGACCGAATTGGGAAACACTGGCTTATATCAATATTTGTGCTTTATTAATATGAGTTTTATTTTGTTTAAACTGCCTCACAACTGCTAACAGGACACATATCTGATACACAGGTTAAGTCCGTTAGCTTACCTGCTGCTGCTGAATTTGTTCAGTTTTGTGTGTAATGGCGCCCCCTGTAAGTTGAAGGAGGTGCTGCTTGGTTCGATTTGTGGTGAACAGCTACTTCTGGCTGCAGTGCATCGGTACACCAGCAGGTGGAGCCGTTACGGGTAGCTGACTGACGATTGTTTCTGCTGGATAGTCGACGCCGATGAAGATGAGCGGAATTTACATTCGCTCTGTGGTTCCGGATTCACCTGCCGGCCAGTGCTGCAGACTGGGCCCTGGAGACCGTATCCTGGCCGTAAATGGACAGAGCCTGGTGGGAATGGAGTACCACAGGTGAGCAGGAGCGGAGCTCTGTGTGTGTGTGTGTGTGTTTCTGTGTGTTTTTGTGTGTGTGTGTGTTTCTGTGTGTTCCTGTGTGTGTGTGTTTCTTTGTGTTTCTGTGTGTTTCTGTGTGTGTGTGTGTTTCTGTGTGTGTGTGTTTCTTTGTGTTTCTGTGTGTGTGTGTGTTTCTTTGTGTTTCTGTGTGTGTGTGTTTCTTTGTGTTTCTGTGTGTGCTGCCTTGTGCGTATTAACAGATATGTCTGTGTTTTTGCTTTCACAGTGGCAAGGAGCTCATGCAGACATCAGGAGACAAGCTCAGTTTGCTGGTGGCCAAATGTGTATGGAAGGTTTAGCTTGTATGGGAGCTAACTGGACAATCTGGGCCATGAAGTACACTTTAAAGCTCAGGGACCTTTGCGTGAGCTGCAGGTATTGAGTTTTCTTACTGGAGTTTTTCCACATAGGAAAAAACATATTTTTGGGATATTTAAATAAGTTTACTTTTTTTTACTTATTGAGGAAAAGTTACTTCAACATATTTTTATTCGCTGAAAAGCTTTATTACATTTCTCATTTGAATTGCAGGCTGAAAACAGTGTAAAATCATGACGTTTCTGGGCTGGATTCTGGCTGGAGTGTAAACATTTAGAATATGTACATAGCAATTGAACGTTAATGTACGGGAATGTCATGCATTACAATGCCATGGCGGTAACATATGCACTATGTTAAAATTGGCGACCTGTTAGGTGTACTGGGTGCACTGGGATTCTGGCCAAGCTGCTGGACACACTGGTGCTGCCTGACTTTGTTTCAACTCTGTTCAGATCCTTATTGGCTGAAAGACACAGCCAAGTACTCCTGGGTCCTGAGGTCCAAATGCATGAATATATATTTACTATGTAAACAAAGGTAAAGACTTTTTACTTTTTTCAGAAGGCCAGTGCATATGGGATGCAAGACTTTGTTACAGTTTATAATTATAATTATTTAATCCTTAGTTAATTTTGTTGTACTATTTTATTTGAAAATACCGTTTCTGTTACACATTAAATAATGTTGCCAAAGCAAAAATGACAGGTCACATATCTTTAAAAAACAGCATTTAAATCTTATATTCAGCTGATTACTGTTCTGCCTCACACCTCTGGAGCCAGGGTTCGAGTCTCCATCATGGCTCTGTGTGTGTGGAGTCTGCATGTTCTCCCCATATCGTCGTGGGGTTTTCTCCAGGTGCCCTGGTTTCCCCCCACAGTCCAAAAACATCCTGAGTCTAACTGGAGTTACCAAATAGCCCGTAGGTGTGCATGTGTGGGTGACTGGTGCGTGAGGGTGTCCAGTGATCTGCCTGCAATGGGTTTGCAGCCCATCCTGCGTTATTCCCTGCCTTGAACCTGTAGCCCCTGGGATAGGATCCAGACCCCGCGACCCAGAATAGGACAAGCAGTTACAGAAAATGGATGGATGGATGGATGGATTACTGTCACTGTCATGTGATCCAGGTGTTCATGGAATCTTGGAGGTCCTGAGCCACAGCTCCGTGTGCAGACACCACCCACTGGCACACATGCATCATTAAACACACAACATGTACTTCAGAAAGAGTGCTGTCACACTCTTTCTGTTCAACAGGATCCAGTGTGACCTCTTCCTATGAGCGACCTGACACTTTAACTGCTAACCCATGTATCATTCCAGTGTGACCTCTTCATATGAGCGACCTGACACTTTAACTGCTAACCCATGTATCATTCCAGTGTGACCTCTTCATATGAGCGACCTGACACTTTAACTGCTAACCCATGTATCATTCCAGTGTGACCTCTTCATATGAGCGACCTGACACTTTAACTGCTAACCCATGTATCATGAACCCAGGTGTCAGACGGGTCCGTTATCATTAAATGGACCTGAGTATTTCTGCTTAAAAGTAGCCATATTATCTTGTTGCTCGAACTCTGATCTGTCAATTCAGCTGACTTGTGTCTTGATCACTCTGCTGAAGAACTAGTATATATCCGGGTGCACCAAAGGTTTCAGTAATGTGACAGATTCCTGAGTAATTTTCCCATGAAACTATTGGAAATGCCAACCCAGACATTAACATAAAACTTCCTTATTTTCCAAACCACATACCAAATCATTGTTATATATGAATATATACAGTAAAATCCCATTATAATGGACTTCAAGGGACCTGGCAAAACAGTCCATTATATTCAAAGTCCGTTACATCCAGAGTTCCTGTATACACAGAACACAACTACAGGACACCATTTACTCATGCCACACCCCAGCAGACACACAGCGAAATTCTGTTATATGCGAGTCCGCTATATCCGATGCTTTTTCTGCATGTTTGTAAAGGAGCACGGGTCGGGACCAGCGGATCTCGTCTGTTATAGACAATACTCCGTTATAAGCGAGTCCACTATAACGGGATTTTACTGAATAGTCTTTCCTTGAGCTTGTTTTTATTTTTTTTCTCGGTTAAGTGTCAGGTGTCTGTTAGAAAGACCAAGTGTTCAAAAATAAATACTATGCTCTCCATAAAAATGATTTTTAAAGGCTGTAGATTTGGCACACAGCGACAAAGACAATGTGTTAAAGCTTGATTTTTTAACAAAAAGAAATTTGACCCTAGTAGATGCTTTTGTGTAAAACTTGCACAACCACCTTGGTTCTGTGTCCCCAATATGCTCCTTATTTTTTTACGTGCTTTATAGACTCCATGTTTCCCTGTATGAGCTGTTGGTTATCATGCACATTCCGAACTTGTTCAGCATTTGTGATTATGATTGTGGGCTGTTGTACATGGGCGCTGGCATTGACCATTTTGGCGTGACATTGATCACAGCTCAGGTCACAATCCCCGCACTTTGCACTGATGGATACAGTTTAGCCAGACGCAATGCAGTAGTAATTTTAAATGGAAATTACCAGTGTTCATTGAAATGCTTGGTACTGGTGATTCGAGTGTGGTTTAAGGGGACGGTAATTGGCCTCATGCTCTGCTGTGTTGCTCTGACCCCCGTCATCCATACAAGTAGCTGAACCTCCTTAAACTCAACAACACCATCTGGGGTGAGGAGCACGATATGCAGACTGAAAACACTTCGGAACATCGTCCACACATTTATGGCTTTATGCAATAAACGGAACCTCCAGTGTTAAATGTGTCACATTTTATTCACATACATTCTCTCGCCAGAGTACTTGTACACATATTAATATCACTATGCTGCACATTTCAAATCCTGTACCATTGGGACCAGGTGGGATCCTCATGGTTCCTTAAATATAGCATGTGGTTTGGTAGCTTCCATTCTTCTGCTCAGTGGTCAGCAGAATTGGTCACGTCTTGCATGTTTCTGCCTCTCGGTGATCGCTGCTGCTTAGGGCCGTTTTCAGATTGAGGCCGGCATGTTTATACCTGCTGAAATCTCTATCCCCGAATATCATCAGGATTACAATTTTTATCAGTCTGCTGTTAAATGTTATAACCGAGTGATATTCTGTAAATGCTATGTAAAGAGTACAAGATACAGAGGGTGGACATTTTTGATGCTAGAGTTACAGAAAGACTGTTTTCAAAGGATACGCTTTGACTTACGCAGAATAATTACTAGTTTCAAGGCAGCGAAAAATACCATCATCTAAAATCCAGCCCAGGGGCAAGGGTGGCCTGTTGCAAAATCTCTGACATTTTGAGCTGCTGCTTTGTTAAGCAACTTAATTCCTGAAACACTGGCTGATCTTAATATAAAAAATTCTTATCTGAAAAATTACCTTAAGCACAACAAAAATCAGTCCATTCTGAAACTTGGGATGACAGTGCAGAAAGGCACCTCTGAACATAACCTGGCAACCCTAGAAGTACATAACCTGGCAATCGTAGAAGTAGTTGTCGAGAGCTCTACCTTACATTACATTGGCCTGCCTCATAAAGTGGCCATTGAGTGCATTTATTATATTACATCGGTACATTATATTCCAATATTTATTATATTTACAGACCATACAAAAGGCAGACACATCATTCAATGTGACATGAATGGCAGAAATATACAGAATTAACCTAATATTTCTGTGCCAATGCTCAATAAATAATGTATCACGCTAATTAAGTTATTACATTACTCTTTCTACTGGATAACAATCTGTTATCTATACGGCCTCCGTGATATAAAATCCTGAGCAGTAAAATGCGATATTTCTTACATGCGAAGCAGGAAGAGTGTCTCTGGATGGCAGCGCTGTGACATAAACGGATGCCAGTGATGGATGATGGGGCACATACCTGCCAAGGAACTCAGCTGGACGCTGGCGCTCTGAAAACCACCAGGTAATGCTGCATGATGCCAGCCCAGTGATACCGAGGGGCCTGGAAGTCGGCACACAGAAACCATCTGGCATATGAGGTCAACTGTGGCAGCTTCATGCCATTATTTCAATGCTAAACTTGCACGTAAGAGGTTGCACATCAGTTTGTGCAGATTCTGGTACTTAAACTACCCCTTGCAGCAATTGTAGTAAAGGTGTTGAGAATATTTAGAATACAAAGTAAAATAGTTACAGATCCATGAGAAAGTTAAGTAACGGCATTCCTATTTGGAAGCACAATAGTTATATGAAGGTTCATTGTGCATTTTGCAGGTAAAACATTTAGTGTGATGGTTCCTAAGCCTTTTCTCAGTCAGCTGTACACAAGCTCAAAGGAATCTGCCCTCCTATGTGGAGGCTTCTTAAATGGGCAGTGCAACTTGTCTGGCCACCCTTAAAAATAGTGCAGATTTCCCCATTTTTAAATTAAAATACACAGTTGAAGTCCTTAATTGAGTTCATCTTAAGATATGCAGAATTAAGTGATGTCATTTTGATAGATTTCAATTATGCTTGAGTCTGCTATAATTCTAAGCAACAAAAAACGATAAAAGTTTTCTGTCATTACAAACGGGGTCGGGGTCAGCGGCCGTCTGACCTGCCCTTCGTGTTCCCTCCCCATTTGGCCAGCAGGTGTCGCTGGTCATCCTGTCCTCCTTCCTGTTACTTCCCTGGTGTGTTTTGCCTGTTCCCCAAACTGCTGCATAGCTCAGTGGGCGGAGTGTGTGGCTTGGGGGCAGTTAGCCCGCTAGTGGTGGGTTCTGGGCTGGCCTTGGGTCCTGCTTTATCTATTTTTTTAATTAGTTTTGTTCCCCAGTGTTTCTTTTCTGTTTTGGTTGCCCTGCTGCTTTCCTGTAAATTATTATTTGGTTCTGTAAATTATCCTAGTGTCGTAATTCCCAGTGTAGCCAGTGTTTTTAGTTCTGTGCTCGTTACTGTAACTCGCTCCACCTGTTGCTTGTTGCTCTGTCTCGGTTGATTGGTTAATTGTCATGTTGCGCACTTGCCCTCTCATTAGCAGGTTTGTAGTTTCTATTTAAGAGCCTGTGTCGTCTCTGTTCTTTAGTTAGTCATTAAACATGGTGTGTTCCTGCATTTCCTGTCCCCTTGGGTTTTGTTAGTGATCTGTGTCTTTAATAAACCCCTTTTTGTCTTGCAGCCACTAAGTGGATGGTCACCCTCATTCCCGCCTGTGCCATGTCGGGCCATAAAACAGGGGTGCTGCTAGAAATTTTAGACCCCATGAAAGTCCATCACAATTATGTTCCAAACTTTTTAGGGCCCCTGTGAATCTTCCTAACCTCAACCTGCTTTGCAGTGAACCTGACTACAAATACAAAAAAAAAATCTTAAAGCTGGCTCATTTTTCCAAGAATCCTGTGTAATAATGCAAATCTCCTTACAATCTTGTTAATTTTCATAACTTTTGTCCCCTTAGAACCACACAAGATGCTTCTGTCAATGCTGCAGACGGGCACAAACAATGAATGGGTTCCTGTCGAAATAGTCTTCAATTAATAACCAGCTGACACCAGAAACACCAGGTGATTTGATTGAGTTAGTTGCTCCTGTCCTAGAAGGCAGATAAGGAACTTGTGAAAAATGACTGCAAGTCTGATTGATTGATTAACCTGATACATTTTAGCACTGGGTGTTCAGTGGCAGAGGACCTTTGTTATCACTGTCTAAATAATGACCGTCGACAATGAGCGCTTCATTAACGAATCCTATTTTGCTCCTTTAATATTTTGACGAGATTGCAAAATTACCCATATTTTTGTGTGTATTTTCTGCTGCAATTCTCCATTAAAGCATATCATATATATATATATATATATATATATATATATATATATATATATATTCCATCAGTGTCGAGAGGGTCTGGCAGGTTATCTGGGCTGATACGTGACCTCAGTCAGTGGCCCGTTATTTGAATATCAAGGTTGATCATCACGGGTTTACACAAAACATCTAACATCTACTGTTGTGTATTGTACTGCATTTCTATACGCAAGGCAGTGTAGCTTATAGAGACTCGGTTCGGAAGAAGCTACCCCATATGTGTACATCACAAATACCTTACACGTGTACTGTATTGTTGTCTGCTGAATCGGACCGCGAGATGAGTTTTTTACGGTATTACCATCACCGTAGTACTCTGTATTGGATCAGCTAATTAAATTTCAGGTCAATTTCCCATGAAACACTCAGTGGTACTATTCATGTTAATGAATATACGGTTAATGAATATTAAAAACAGAATATGCATATAGGAATACTGACATTCTGGAATACTACGCTTTAATTTATTCCGCGGTGGCCGTGAATCAGCGAGCTTGGCCGAGCGCATTGTAACCGTGCATGGAGCGAACTGTCCGAGCGCACATAATGCGCACGCAGGCGGGGGGGCCTTCGGATCCTGCGTCGGCCGCTGCTCGGGTCTTGGCTGCGATTGGGTGTCGGACACAAGACAGGGAGGGGGTTTCGCTTCTCTGGACGTATTTCGATATGAGTAAAGGCGATGTACAGACAATAGGACGGCAGAACCAAACGTGACAGGGGTAGCAGCCTGTACTTGTGCTAGAGATGCGAAATTACGCTCGTCTGGATTTGAATCGCCGCCAAAATCTGAACAATGCAGAGCTGAAGAAAAAGCATTCAGTTCTTCTTGCATCAGAATAGTCTTTTCCGTCAGCATAATTTTTGTCCTCTCCTAAATTGACAGACGGTTACAGGGATTGCATGAATTACGAACTGAAAGGTAAGTCGTTAAATGACAATGGACAGTGCCTATAGGGCATGCAATTATTTATTTGAAACAATCATTTGTTTATTTTTAATATTTTATTTAGCAGGCGATTTTGCAGTTAAAATGTATTTGACCAGTAAGGCGCAGATAGGTATATGCCTACAAGATATGTGGTTCCCCAGAAATAATTTCAGTCCATTAGCAAGATTGCATGTTACGCAAACAAAGGACACCTATCAGTTTTTTTAAAGCCCAAACATTGTGTCACTGTATCATCTCGTCTTACAGCGATAGAATTTGATTTTCGGTACGTAATGAATAGACATTGTAGTGTAGCGGAGACTTTACGTAATGACAAAATATGTACTATACGAGACCGACACAGGGAAACAGGTGAAACAAACGAACAAGTCATGCCGACCTGCCAGCGCCATACACAATCATTTATCCAGGCTTATCCTTAGAAGAGACACCGCTTCTCTGGTGAGTCGCATTATCTCACACGCACTTACGACATACCTAGATCGCATTACTTAGTGTCACATCTCTTCCTGTTTCTGTGGGAGTCGTCCTTAAGCAGAAAATATTTGCAGCCTTTATGACCTTCTTGCCTATTAATCCCCTTATCAACTGTTGAGTTAAAGTTTTTTTTTCTTTAAAAAATAAGCGAATATGAAGAGAACAAGGCTGATGTTGTGAATCGGTTCTTACATTTCCCAGTGGTGCAGAACAGCGGTGTGGTTACTGATGCCGAAATGAACCAGTTAGTCAACCATAGTGAGTAACTGGGTCTATTAAATAAGCAATTTTACGGAAAAAGGTGAAATTGCAGGTTACCCGAACAGAGGTCGCAGATACCTGGCAGATAGGGGTATTTCTCCTGTTTCTGTCACCTTCTCTGCTGATCTGGGAACAGTCTGATCTGTGGCTAATAATCAAAAGGGTCTCCAGACTGTGGGGCTTCTAAGCTGCTTCATGTGCCTCACAGGACCTCGACTATTGAAGAATTACTTTCCCAGTCTTTATATGTGTCACTGATTAACAGCACAGAAAAAGCCCCCAGCCCACAATCAAACAATAGTAATATTAATCTCAGAAATCACAAGTGGGAAAAGTAGTCTTGTGACTGATCGGAGCAGTTTGTGTCTGGAGGTAAAAATGGATGGTCTAATGTTTTTTTTGTTAAATATTTGTGAAGAGAATTCAGGCCTGGTTGCAGGGGTCTGAAAGTTTTGGTTTGCGATGTTCATGAATGCTGATGACGAAGGGTTAGGTAGCACTTTCACCTACAGTGCTGTGGATTCCAGATTTAGGTGTGGAGATTGCTGAGGTTCTGGAGATGTTCTTTCCTTTGCTCTTGATCCCCCCCCCTCCCCCTTCCCCAAAGTACAAAGACTTACTCTAATGGCTGAAATTTTAAAGCATAATGCCAAAAATGCTAGGTGTTTCCATAATTCAGTCAAATAGTGAACAGTCCAAATGAGCTGGTGACTCAGAATTTGCTGGTATTCTGTGTGTCAGGACCTTGGTATGGACTGACACACGGTCCTCTCTGGCCTGGTGTGTACCCCGTCCTTACAGTCTCTGCTTACCTGCTCCCGAGATGTTAATGGACGCTGATAGTTTTCTTAAAATGTGATCCCTGTGATGCACTGGGATCCTACATACACTGCCTGGGATGGGCTGCAGACCCCCCCCCCCCAACAGGGACCTGGACATGGGGTTGGAAGATGGACAGATGGATAAAAAAAAATGGCAGCTCAGAAACTAGATTCAACTCAGATTAAAATCTCAGTAGGACAAGAAACTGAATGTATTTAATCTGAATTGCTTTGCAAAACATGGCTTTGGTACAAAGAGCAACCTATTTTCAGTCAGTATATGTGTAATATTCAGTTAATGTTGATTTGAGTGGGTGCGACTGTTATAGACTGTCGGTCATCTTCCTCCCGACGGATTAAGCCACCAGCTCCCAAGGCACCTTCCTCCCATCACTAATTATTGGTCCTAAATGTTTCCAAATTGCACTTGGCAAACCAATTTGGCAGCGTCTTGCATTGATTGCCGCACGTCTGATTGGTTTGTAATGAGCACGGCGGCACGATTTTACCATGGAATGGGCGGCTGGCTTGTTTGGTCTTGGACGGCACTGAGGATTAGATGCTGATCCGATGTGACAGGGCCATTATGACGCACCGGGGCCGTGCAGCTTTCGTGCACATCCGTCGTGGTGAGGCCGGGGAATGTTTACAGGTGGGAGGGGTGAGGAACACGGTGGATTCGGGCTTCACCCTGACGTGAGTCATGGATAATTTGTATCGCATACACATGATGATTCCTTAAATGGGTGGGACTTGTCCTGCATTCCTAAAAGAAAACAGACGCTGTTTATGAGCCTCACGCCTCGTACCTCCGTCTCCTTTCAGCTCCGCCAGCCTTCAGCCAAAATGAGCTCCTCTCCCATGCCCAGCCGCACTTCCCCTGACGTCCTAGAGGAGCTGCAGCTCCATGCCGCTCAGAACCTGGAGAAGGTGGAGATCAGTCGGTACTACGAGGTCATCCGGGAGCTGGGCAAGGGCACCTACGGCAAGGTGGACCTGGTCGTCCACAGAATCAGGGGTGGGTTGTTTTGCCAAGTTCTTGATATGTTTATCGCGTCTGGAATCCATGTTCTATTAATCTTCTGAAGTGCTCTACAAATGCTACATCCAGATCTCTTAAAACAAAGTTTCTATCTCATTCATCCGAGAAGGACGATCACATCAAAGACATCCGAGTGCAGCCAGCTGTTCTCTTCTGAGGAACTGGGGAACTCGGTAGTGATACGCAGGTTCACTTTACTTTTGGTAAATAATCACTATGTGGCTGTCCCAGCGAAAGTGTGCGTTCAGTATATGGAATGTCAGAGCAGATGGCACCAGTGGGAGGGACGTCCTGAGCACGTGATGCGGAGCAGGTCCATGAGGTGGCGCTGTAGGGGGTGCCCCTTTCTGAATCACTCCGCACTCACGCCTGCCCCAGAGGGAGAACCTGAGTCAATAATCACCTTGATGACAAGCTCACTATAAGACTATACACAATGTTACAGACGAGACGTGCAACAGTCGTACTTGTGCACATTCTGCAGGTTAAAACTGTTATCCAACAGAACCATGGTCTGCTCACTATGAAATGGATGGATCTATGCAACATTTCACTGTATATCTCTGCTGTCCCAAGTATCTCCAAAAATCCATTATTTCAGGAATGTGAAAAAAAATCTTAATTTCTCTGAAACTCTTTACTCTTGATTGTTGTCAGTGAAGCAAAAATGTCAGCGGCAACAAGATACTAATTTATGTTTGATATTAACGATGATACTACTTAACAACTTAACATTGATAGCTAGTTAAGTTTAGCAGTATAATTGACCATCATGAATACAAATGTTAACTAGTACAAGCATAAATAAAATAAACATATGCCTTCATAAAGCATTTTTTCATTGGTCAATTAGATGCCAAATGCTATCAGTAGACAGAGGAGAATGGGCATAATCCATCTATAGTAAAAAGTCACAATTGTCAAAGAGTGGACATTGCAATTGCAGTTTTCATTGAACAACAACGATATGTATGAATGAGCAAAGTTGTAGTGTGAGACCGACAGCTATAGAAATGAAGGGGTTGTGTGTGTGATTGTGAGGGAAGCAGTCAACACCTCAGAAAACTTTACTTCAGTGGTGAATGTGGCCGCATCTCGAGAATATTGAATATTTTTAATGCTTTTTTTAATACTTTTTTTTAATCTTGCACCAAAGTTTGGCCAGTCCCTCTTAATTGCATTATCATCATATTATTAATGATCATTATATAATTAATATCCACCATGCAGCATTGAGGTATTCGACTTTACCACCCACAATGATTTAATATAGCTACTTTGTATCAGTGCAGTGGACCTCTGGCTCAGTCCTGATAACCAATCAGTCCAGTCATGGACCGTAGAACCAGAGGGGCCGATTTTTGGAGCATCGTTAAGGATGCGGTCTTGAACAATCATAAAGAAAAAACCTGCAAATAATTTAATACAAACCGCTAAAATTTCATGAATAAAATCCTGCATTATATCCATGTTTTTGAACAGAAGGTTCTATCTGAGTTTTTAACCAAACAGACAAGTTCAGCCCCATTCAGATGCTGTGCGTTCCCTGCATGCAGGGCAGTGGACCTTGACTTCAGTCATCCAGAATTAGGGTTATACCCGTGACCACATTAAGGCCCGTCGCTGAAATACAGCGCTGCATTCGAGGCCTATACGCTTCCGGAGCTCTGAATCTCTGCGCGGTCGGCCCCTCCGCAGGAACGAAGATGGCCCTGAAGTTCCTCTGTAAGAAGACCACCAATCTGCGCAGCTTCCTGCGAGAGTACAGCATCTCGCTCTACCTGTCGCCCTGCCCCTTCATCATCGACATGCTGGGCATCGCCTTCCAGACGGACGAGTACTACATCTTCGCGCAGGAGTACGCTCTAGCCGGGGACCTCTTCGACATCATTCCTCCGCAGGTAAAGGCTGCGTCTCCTCGGAATACATCTGTTTCACGCAGCAAGAACACAGGTCACTGTCACTCCTCCGAGGTACAGAATGTAGGGTAATTTTATGCTTCTTTAACAGGTTTTTTTTTAAAAAAAGTTTCTCTTAATCTTACACTGAAATCTGGCCAGTCCCTCTTAATTATTTACATTATTATCACATTATTAATTATCATTATATAATTGATATCCACCTGCTTTTGCCCCTTTTGCCCAAACAATTGACCCGTCTGAGATTCTCAATGCCACTGGGGTTGGTGCCCCATCCTGGGTCATTCGCTTCTATGCTCCCGTAGCTTCTGGGATGGGCTCCAGACCCCCGCAACCCCGCACAGCACAAGCGGGCGTGGAAGACGGGCAGATGGATGAATATCCACATTAATCACACAATTATCGAGTTAATAAGCTACTATGCAGGATGTAATTGTGATGCCAGTGAGCTCTCCCGCTGTCTTGCTTGGTTTTTGTGCGCCATGTTACGCTGTGGTCATGTGACAGTGGCATATGTGACCCCACCTCCCCCCCTCCCGCAGGTGGGGCTCCCTGAGGTGGTGGCGAAGCGCTGTGGCCGGCAGGTGGCCGTCGCCCTGGACTACCTACACTGCAAGAAGCTGGTGCACAGGGACATCAAGCCCGAGAACGTGCTGCTCTTCGACCGCGAGTGCCACCGGGTCAAGCTGTCCGACTTCGGCATGGCGCAGTGGGCGGGGGCGCCGGTGAGGCGCGTGAGTGGCACCATCCCGTACACGGCGCCGGAGCTGAGCCAGGCAGCGCCATGGCAGGGCATCTGCGTCGACTACAGCCTGGACGTGTGGGCCTTCGGGGTCCTGCTCTTCTGCACACTCACCGGAAACTTCCCCTGGGAAGCAGCTCTGCCCTCTGACCCCTTCTACCAGGAGTTCCTGCGTTGGCAGCGCCGCCCCAGTCCCGCTCCCGTACCCACACAGTGGCGCCGCTTCTCAGACGAGGCTCTGCACACGTTCCGCCGCCTGCTTTCCCCAGAGCCGCCGTGCCGCTGCGCCGCCAGAGACGTGCTGAGCCAGCTGGGATGTCGCTGGACGCTGCCGGAAGGTTCTGGAGAGGATGCCCGCGATGCTCGGGCCGAGCCGGGATCGCCGCCCCCGGAGGAGGAGCAGCAGCTCGTCGACCGGATGAAGCAGCAGACGCTGTCGCCGGCCGCAGATGAAGAGGAGGAGGAAGAGGAAGAGAACCAGGCGGTGGTTGCTGTGGAGACCGGAAGCCGCGTCCTCTTGGCTGCGCCCATCGAGATTTGCGTGTAGGTGGCGCTGTAGTCCACTTTGATAATGGCCTGGAAGCATCCAGAATGCGATTGTAACACGCGCTAAAGGACCGACGTCAACGGTGTTATTGGTATTCTGTAGATCCCATCATTCTCGCTGAAGCTTAGATTTAGACTGGCCGACGGTCCCGTCAGGAACGCCGTCCCGCTGGAACAGAGCAGCGCCGGGCCACACAGCAGCCGGACCCTCCGCGGGATGAGCCGGAGATCAGCTGGCGAACGCGCCCCTTGTCGTCAGAACCGGGCCAGATCCACAAACCGTCCCTAACGACATCCATCTGTTTCTTCAAAAACATGAGGATCAACGAAGAGAGGATGTCGGCATCGCCTGACCGGTGAAGGGAACGTGACGGGGAGTGTCTGTGCGAACGTCCCGCCAGATGTGATCCTGTATCACGTCTGCCGTACTGTATTTGTGAACGTCGTTTTTAATGAATTAGTTTTAGATGAGTGATTAGATGTGTGGATCATTGACTGTAGAGGCAGGAGAGGCACTGGGAAGTGGGTCACACAGAGGTCATCCCAACTCATGGTGGAATAGTACTATATTAGTTTATTAGCAACCTTGGGGCTAACGTAGGTCCTACACACCATACCTGTGTGATGTGCTTCTGTCCAGGTCTTCCTTTCAAGCCAAATCCTGATAGTTTTGGACAGAAGTCAACAGCCGTCCTTGTCCTGTGTGACACTGACTGGCTTGTGCTGCTGAAGGGGGCGTCCGACGTCACCCAGATTGGACGAGATGTTCAGTTCCAGGTGCTGGGTCTGACGTACATTCTCACAAATCGTTTTTTTTTTTTTGTTCATTTCTAATTGTCTGTCAGTCAGGGATTTTACAAGATGGAGGAACGTCTTTCATGTTTATTTCAAGAGCAAAGCTGGAACTCAATTGGTGTGACGAGTGTTTGGCAAAAGCACATTCCTGCAGTTATATCCTGCAAACAAGGTTCTTGCTAGGATTTTGATTAGAGTGAACAAGACGTTTATATTTTGTGGTCTATATTTGTATGTATCCTTTCTTGTGACTAAGCAAACCAGCTGAGTAAGGTTTTTGCAAAGGAAACGTGAGATTGTGGTGATTTTAATGGTAATCAATCATTAACGGGTACCTTGTTACAGAACAATTTTCCGTAGTGAGCATATTGACAGTTTGTTTTTTTAAATGTAAGATCTGTTCTGAGAAAGTTCATTTTCAACAGTGAAAAACATTACTGCCCTGTTGCATTAAACAAACCCACAAATGCAGATTGTGCCAGAAATAATTTGTGTGTTGTGTTTTCCAGACGTAACTGCATGCATTCCAAATAAAGCTTTGCTGCTGCAAGCACAAGTATCCATTTTCTTAAGCTGAAACACGCAGTTTAATGAGGTCTTCAGTGGACAATCCGAGCATTTCTGGGAGTCATTGTCTGTGTATAGGATGGTCACGGGGCAGGAAGAACAGGAACGGGACACTCAAGTGCCCTTGCACACTACGCTTCCATGCTGAAGGTACCTTGGACGGCAATATACATCTGCAAACACTGTGGGGGGGCATTACAATTGCTGCCTTTGAACACAAGTTAGGATATTAGCGTAATGTTCTTCAGAGTGAAAATAACCGTCATAATCTGGTTTAAAAAAATAATTTGTTTACCTATTAAGCAAGAGGCAGAACAGCTGCTGTGATTAACCACAGAGGATATTTGGTGCAAAAAACTTTGATTTTCCCTTTTAATTTCTATGGCAATATGGTGTGAAACAAGGTTACTCTGAGTGAAACAAGTTGGGCAGAACAGCAGGACTGAGGCTTTTAACCCCGGGCTGGTGGGTTTAACGGAACTAACAGTCACTGTCGGCTTTAACCATTTATGAACAGTAGCTTAACCAGCAGGAAAGTTGCTGTAACGCCGAGTCCCACAGGCCTGAAGTCCGGACTCGCCTTCATCAGCGCTGTAATATATCTGCACTTACCCAACAGACTGGCGTGACACGACGGAAGCGTCCCAATGTTCCAAGCACTTTATTTAGCAGTACCATTAAAAAAATATATCTGGAAAGCACATTGTGTCAAATTAGCCTTAACGCACTGTCACAAACAAAACAAATCGCGGGAGGGGAAAAAAACTGTTCTAATCATCTATTGTAAAATCTGGAAAATTCTCCCATCCAGAAACCTATGTACTTATACAATTCATCTCCATATTTTCCTCTAGTATGATGTGAAATCACATCAGGAGAGCAACCAAAGCCAAGTTTAAAGGAAGAAGGTTCGTTTCTCAGAGTTATGACGACTGCTATTACCATTACCGTAGCCGCTTCTTAATCGTCGCTGTTCCTGTTCAGATACAATGAGTCGTGCATATCTGTAACCGTCACAAGGCATTATGGGTTAAGCAGAGGTGGAGATTTCAGGTCCATAAAGTACAAATCCAGACCAAGATTTTGTTTCAACCAACCAGTTGAGTATCTGTGACTGTGACTCTTTATACTCAACTGGTTGGTTGAAACTAAATCTTGGTCTGGATTTGCACTCCCTGGACCTGAAATCTCCACCTCTGTGGGAAATTACAGACTAGCCTCTCTGAAAGCATGGTCTGTGTTTAACAATGGCTGTGCGTAACCATGTGACGCCCCATGAGGTCCACAATGTAACCAAATTAGATACATTGCTGTTTGGTTACATCACACCCATGTTTGAGTCCCTCCTGCCATATTGTCAATTAATTCTCATGCTTCAAATTTGCCACATCAATGGATGGTCATGATAATGTTTTCCCTCAAGCACAAATGGTATCACCAAGCCACCCCACTTCTATAACTTGCTTCCCCTGAGAAGCACAGGGTAGTGGACCCCAGGACGTGACACCAGTCCATTACAGTGCAACGGATCATCAAACATAAGCTATATTTTTCACAGTGGGGTGGCTCAGTTTAAGTAAATAATTATCACAATAATAGATTCGTTAGAAGCCCCCCCCAGCTGGGCACTAAAGCTATTATTTTTGGTGGGGACCTAACAGAGCTTAGACCAGACAGACACATGCACAAAGGCTAGTCTGCCCACAAGCCACCAGAGACGGCTTACAAAAAGAGAATTTGCTCTGCATTCTGGGTGTAAATGAAACATTTCAGGCGAAATTCAAACCCTGTTCTTGCTGTCGAACTGCAGGGGAGAAGCAACAGTAACCCACTTCGCCCCGGAGACCACAAACTTAGCTTTTTACAGACTAGCTCTTAACGACACTGATGAGTTCATAAATTACTAACGATTCCTAAAACCATTCAAGGTCACCGCTGATAAGTCTTATCTCATCCGATACCTATTTAAATAGAAGACAGACTGAATAGAACCGTCTAGGTAAACGGCATCATGGGATAGCTATTTGTCCAAAGGATTTCCCAGAATCCTCCTGGGGGCTGGGGGGAATGACAGCATCCTGTGGGTGGGGCACATTGGGTACAGGAATGAAAAAAAATGAAAAACGGAGTACCTTTGGCACCTAGGAGACCGGCATGTAGGGCCATCAGATTCAAAACTGCATACAGTCTCCGAAAACACTCTAAATAGATCAGTATTCATCACTTGCAGAGGTGGACAGTTCAGGTCCAGAGAGTAAAAATCCAGACCAAGATTTCGTTTTAACCAACCAGCTGAGTATCTGTGACTGACACTCTATTCTCAGCTGGTAGGTTGAAACAAAACCTTGGGTTTGGACCTTTACTCTCTGGACCTGAACTATCCAGCTCTGATTTATGGTGGAGATCTTGATACAGCCTTAGGAAAACACAGCGTCTGAGCCCTCAGGCTACGAAGATGGAGCTGCTCTCCGTGGGGGGGGGGGGGGGGGGGGGGCTTTGGGTGTTTCCGACTTTTTAACACCCCCCCCCCCCCCCCCCCCCCCCCC